CAACAGACTTACCAGCTGGAGGCAGCTGTATCGGATATCAGATTGGTACTAGCCGATATGCCTCCTTAAATATTGGCTACCGGTATTGGCCCCCAAATCTCTATTTGTGCACCCCTACCAAAATCTCTATTGGTGCACCACCCACAGATGTTCTCCCAGCCCCTGATATGTTCACCCTTTATATACTTAAAGGCTGCCACCAAGTCACCTCTGAGTCTTCTCTTCTCCAGGTTGAATGGTCCCATGTCCCTCAGCCTCTCCTTGTATGGTCTATTCTCTAGGCCTCTAATTATTCATTATCTTAATATATTCTTTTAAAAAACGAAATCAGATTAAGTATCATTCCTTTTTTAACTTAACATTAAATGCATCTTAGGCTGTACAAAAAACATTCCAGATATTTAATTGTTCTTCATAGCCCTTTACTGTCTTATTATATCAGAGGAGCTTTTTCCATTAGCCCCTCTAGTCTAATCCAGACTTTTTGATGGGTAGTTCTACAATAATTTTTCTATTAGAGATCATTTGTACTTCAGAGGACCGAAGGCTATGTGAAATGAGGAGCACAGGAAGGTGTAGCAGTTCTCAGGAGACACTACAGTACTAAATGGAAAACAGATGGTGAAGTGCTTTTGATAGAGATGAAGTGTTCAGGTTCTTTGATATTTTCAAGTGCAAATACTCAAAGCATTGAGGTTTTACCTGTTATGACAACCGTGTTTTGAGCTGACACTTTTTGATGTCAGTGTGCTGCAAGCTACATAGGCACTGTTTCATCGAAGTGATCCATATAGTAGTTGGCACTGATATCTTTGGTGCAGTAGACACATTGCAGGTTGGCATTTTTCATATCTGTAATATTGAAACAGTTCAAATTACAGGATGTTAGTGACTACAGATGTTCAGATGTAGACAGATGCCAAAGTATCAATGCTGAGAAGCCTTATATTAAAGGCTCTCAAAATGTCCCCAAGTATGCCTGCTCCCAAATGTGTGTTAGAAACCTGTCATAAGAAAAGATACAGTGTTGCTAACTTAATGCAATACTTTGATAAATTCAAAATCATGCAGATTAAAGAAATGCACTGAATTACTTATTCAGAGCTTATATGATATTTAACTGTATCTGCCAAAGAAGGGGACCTGGAAAAAGGGTAATTGGTTGCATAGGGAGAATATAATATTCAATGCATAAATATTATATAAATGAATGGTACACCATCATCGGTAATACTGTGAATGGAATTGTTCACCTACATTAAAAAGAATATTGCAGAATTGAATGGAATTAAAGGAATCCCAAGGTTTATGAAGAGAAGTTAAAAAGATTTACCTCAGAAAGGAGGAGAATAGAAGGGGGCATGATGAAGGTATGTAAAATAATATGTGCTATAGAAAACGTAGATTGAGAGTTTCTTTTTTTTCACTGAATATTCTTGTGTTACATGGAAAGGTGGCTCATGCAAACTGGGCAAAAAGAAATACTTATTTTCACATAACGTAATTAGAAACATGATACAATAAGGAGGCTGC